TCGGCATTCAAATCCAAAACCTCGAGCGCATGTCTCGAGACAACAAAAATCACCAAAATAAAACACATAAACATACACGAACTACATCCGAGATGTGTGTATATATATAGAAAGAGAGAGAGAGAGAGAGAGTACTGTTGAAGAGCGAGAGAGTTGAGAATCGAGCCATGGAGAGATTCGATCTCCCAACCATGGATGCGCAAACCTCGGCGTCCATCGGGCAAAAGCTCTGCTCCGGCGGATTTCAGCGTCTCCTCGTTCATCTCGACCTCCATCGCTGTCGCCGGAAAATTTGAGCAGCTGGTGATTTCCTCCCTCCGATTTGACTTTCACCTTCTTCCCCAACACTTACTCCGGCCCACCAATGAAAATCTCACAACCGTTGACTGCAAATTTCATGGGCTTTAACTCCTTTAGGCCCAATGAGCTTAGGCTGCTTCTAAATGGGCTGCTAGATTACAGTGCCAAATTTAGATTTGTGTCTTTGGATTATGATTTTTTTTTTTTTGCCGTCTAGAGTTTCTCTTTTCTCACTTATTCCTCTCTCCAAGAGGCCCGGGTTTAGGCCCATTTATTGAAGCCCAATTATACTACACATTCACTCGAGTGTATTTAATGGATCTTGAATATAAGTTTGTATGGGCCTGGCCCATTAAGCCTAACTAAACCGCCCTGTGAAATTAGGGCTCCGTCATATATACGTGAAGCCAGCTTCCCTGAAAACCATAGCAATCTCGCTCGCTGCCGATTGAGGAGGACAGCGTTGCTTCAGGTATCTCTCTCTCTTTTCAACAGAATTTCCCTCACCATTTTTTCTGTCTGAGCTCTCTCTGCCAACGTTTGAATGATTGTTACAGTTTAGTTTTTTTTCTATCTGTTTTTTTTTTGTAAATTCTAAGAGTATAATGCGAACTAGGATCATGGTTTGATGGTAGTACTTTTTTTATTAAATCAAACTTGAGCATTTCGATCTTTGAATTTGTATGATTTGATGTTTCGTCCGCGTTTATTCCAGTTATCATCTTATTTATCTCAATTGTTTACGCAATCCGATTTTTTTTTTGTTTTTTTCCGTTGATTCCAGGTGTATAATGCGAACTAGGATTATGGTTTGATGGCAGTCTTAGTTTTGATTTTTTTGTTAAATCACACTTGAGTGTTCTGATCACAGAATTTGTATGATTTCGTATTTCGTCTGGTTTTATGCTAGTAATCATCTAGTTCATCTCCGTTTCTCATGCGATCAGAGTCTTGTTTTGGTAATTCTCGTCTAGCTCGTAGATCTGATTTTTCTTCTGTTTTAGTGTTTAGCATGTATAAGGCCATGCCGCTGTTGCTCTTGTGTGTAACTGTGTATCATTTGTATATATGTCCAAGAAGCTTTGTTAACCCAAATATCAAGATTCGTAAATTTGGTAGAAATATTCTATGAACTACACCATTGATGCACCATCTTATTAATTTATTTTACTTGTACTTTGTTGTATTTAGGAGCTAGAATCTCTTAATCTAAGAAGATGCAGAACGAAGAGGGTCAGATCACCGAGCTTTACATCCCGAGGAAATGGTATTACGGTCTTGTATTTGCTCCGTTCTCTGTATTTTGCGAGTTCTTTCACACAATTTTTAATAAGTCTCTGGTTCATGGGTGTTTTTGTCTGTTGCAGCTCTGCGACCAACAGGTTGATCACATCGAAGGACCATGCCTCTGTCCAAATCAACATCGGCCATCTCGATGCAGATGGCATCTACACTGGCCAGTTCACCACCTTTGCACTCTGTGGTTTCGTCCGTGCTCAGGTTTGTCTCGTTGTCTCTGAACTTTCGCGGAGCAATCCTATGTGTTTTGTTCTCCAAATTCTAAATGGAGTTTCGATTGTTAGTGCGGGCTATGCTTTTGATTCGTAAATTAAACCTGGTTAACTGATTTTTAGTCTGAAGTTTATGGTTTTCATCAAATCCCTGCTTAGTGCTTACACCTTATAGCATCAAGATAGTTCATATTGTTATCAGATAGAATCGTTGCAGTAATTTCTAGTTGATCTTTCTCCATGTCCTATGTGGGACACGATTTTAACGGATATGCCATTGCGTGAGAACCGCAGGGAGATGCTGACAGCGCAATCGACAGGCTGTGGCAGAAGAAGAAGGTCGAAGCCCGACAGTAATCATATTTCCGGTGCTTTGCTTTGTCTTAGGTTTGTCGTATGAAGTAATGTTTTTTATTTAAACCACGACTTAAGTTTCTCAAGAACTGAAACATTCCTTGCTTTTTGCTTTCGCATTGTGCTGTTTTTCACTTTGGGAAAAAGTGGTCTTTTCGTTGTGTTTCTTTCATTTTTAACCCTTTTGTCTTTGACGGAAATTTCCCCGGCGGCCTCGGAGTTTCTGTAAACCAAGGCCTAACCTTTGCACCCTTCTGCCCGATTTATCCAAATAATCGGTAATTTTCTCCGAAGCCTGGGTCGTTCTCAGTTACAGCCTCTTATGGACGTGCTCAAAGATCCTCACATGCACTCTCCATTCGCAAATCTTTGTACCTTCATCGATAAACCGACCCATCACTGAACGTAAGAACCAGAGAGAGTCAGAGAGCTTATCCTCATTGTACTGAACATTTCAGATATATGTACCAACTCGGGATTATCATAAAATGCACCAACGGCCAAGAAAGCCAATGAAGAAACGGTAATAATGACCGAGCAAGAGGAGAAACTAGAACTAATAATGGAATAGAATGAAGAAAAGCAACATGAGAAGGGAACCAACAAAAATCTCCAAGACACAAAACCCCCCAAAACAAACAATCCGAACTCTCTTCTGCCCATACGAGCAGCCCCTCTCCGAAAGAATCTAAACCCCGAAAGAATCCGGTCCGAATAATAGTAGTAGTAGTGTAATAATACAACATCACCAAGTCCACATAACGGTAACTCGTAAAGAGAAGTAGCTCGGTATCACGACGAACACCGTGCAAAAGATTGCGTGCTCAGATCATCAGCCAGAGAAGCATGGATCCGAAGGCCAAGCTGCAAACCGTCTTGGAAGCCCCACTCTGCAAGATGATTAGGATACAATTAGATTACAAAAGCATTGTGATTACTACTTAATCACAATCACAACCACATAAGCATCTTACAAGTGTATTAATTCATAGGATTTTTATTTGTGAAATGTGGTTTTTCTGATAAATAAAACCATCTGGGTTGTTTTTGAAAAGATTGAAAAGTTTAGGGGCTCTAACTTAAGAATGGCTTTTATTACTCGCTTTGGACATACTATGTCTATGTCTGACTGCCCACTTAATCTGTGTTTTCTAAATATAAATCTAATCTAATCTCGACAGCGCGGATATTCTGCCACGTGGCAGAAACTTAATGATCACGTGTAAACCGACCACTCACGTGATCTCTGACATCTCGGGTTCGAAGATCTCGAGACACCAACAGGCACAGGACAAAACACTACAGAACTCGATGAGGCGCATGTTAATACAGACTAACGACCTCTTGCTAACTTGCACTAAACATGATTTTAAAGTAAACCCCATCAACACCTAGATCCGACTAATTAATCAAGCTTTGCTTAATCAGTTAAATCTCAGTGAACCCCGGCGACGTTTTGACGAGAAAGCATTGTAGATCTGAAGACGCATTATACAGATCGAAGTGAAAACAGAGAAGAATGTACGGACCTGGTCACTGTTTCCGCCAGAAGGACCAGGAGAGATCGACTCAGCACTAGGTGCGGGAGCTCCGGTCGGTGGAGCCGGTGGGCTAGACAGCGGTGAAGGCGACGGAGCCTTCGGCTTCTTGGTCGGCGCCGGAGCCGGGACCTGAGCCGGCGGCGAGGCGACAGGAGCTGGAGGAGGAGTTGCTGGAGGAGGGGTCGCCGGAGGAGGGGTCGCCGGAGGGGGCGACGCAACGGGAGGAGGGGGAGACGCCGGTGGTGGGGTCGCAGGAGGAGGAGACGCCGGCGGCGGAGAAGAGACAGGAGGTGGTGGGTTTGCCGGCGGAGGAGCGGATACCGGAGGGGGTGGGTTCGCAGGAGGAGGAGCGGTGGTCGGAGGAGAGGAGACCGGCGGCGGCGTGTTTGTCGGAGGCGGAGAGTTGGTTGGAGTCGGCGGAGCCGGTGTAGCGGTCGGAGGAGACGACGGAGCTTGGCCTCCGACACCGCCGGCGACGAGGACGACGCAGAGAACGGAGTAGACGAGCTTCATGTCCATGGCTTCTTGGGGTGTTACAATGCGCACTGGTTCAGTGGTTAACGTGCGCACACTCTTTGTGAAACGAAGAATGGGGGAGAGAGGAAATGAAAAGGGCATTAAATAGGGACGAAGGATTGAAACCGAGGAAACGGCACCGTTTCGATGACCGTAGTAGTATTACACAGACCACGTTGGGCGGGACCCACAGTGTCATGTGGTAATTGCCGGTGCTAGATCTGATGACACGTAGGCAAGTTCATAATTTAATTTTGGTGGTATTAGTTGTATTACAGGAACTTTCTTTTAAAAATATCCAAAATGACAATATTTATATTAAGAATTTGTCCGAGTAAAATTATCACGTTGGATCTAGCTAATAGAACAAATTTGAACTAATTATTCTGCAGCAATACGTAGAAATCCTAATAAATGCAAGAAAATAGGATATTGAATTTATAGAAAATAATTAGAATCGTTGGTTGAAATGTATGAAAATTTATTCATTATATTAGAATTTGCATTCATATAAAAAAAAATAGAATTTACATACTATTATATATATTAACTAGTATTTTCCCTACTATATTATATTCAATCTCTACATATTATAATCTTAAAACTTAAATGATAATTAGTTTCAAATGGTATTTTATTCATATTTGTCACCATAAAATATATATGTAGATGGTAGAATATAAACAAAAATAGGTTTAACAAGATTAGAAGAAATTTTGCATTGTTAGGATTTGGATGTTACGTGACATCCACAAGTTGGTAAAGTGGGGTTATAAACTTGTAATATATATATATATATATAACTGTATATATGTATGTATATATAAAGGAAAGTGATTAAGAATGGCTTCGAAGCAAAGTTTGTGAAGATGGAGAATAAAAGGGGGGGAAACGAGTAAAAGGAGGAAGGCATGATGAGATGGTTGGTGACATGTCCGAGGGGTGTAGGGTATGATCGATCTCCCGTTGATTGATGCTTTCGAACCGAAATTCCAATATTTGTCACACTCTCGTATCATATTTTATACACCCACCGGTCGGTCCATTTCCCTTCGATTTTCAATCATGTATGATCCATCGTCCGAATCTTTTTAACCAACTCCTGTGAAAAATCTTTTTGATTGTTTTCAACAACAGCACAGAACCAACCCATCATATAATATGTGATTCAAAACGGGTTTAATTTATGATTTTAATATATTTATTTAATATAAATCGCAAGTGCAAGGATTCATGTGTAGATACTATTCTCTGCTTTTTTAGTTTTCCAGAAATATAATTTTAAATATAAACTAAAAAATTGATGACAGTGATCTCTAATTCAAATCCTCTAGATAATTTTTTGAAGTCTCTAATTTCCTGATAAAACATTTTTCTATCGATGTACCAAATTTGAACACACGGCCAAACTCTCAATCTCCAATTCCCCAAACGGCAGAATATCCAAAATAAACCTACTTCTGCAATCCTCCTTCAAATATGACCATATGACCAAAATAATTGTATGGTCATATTATTGTCACATTGGTCATAACGTTAAATTTATGGTGATCATACCAAACCACCATGGTCACACCTTACGTATCACACTAATCATTTGGTGAAATTATAAAAAATTTAACGTTGTGACCAATGTGACCATCATGTGACCATACAATTATTTTGGTCTGGTAACATATGGAGAAGGTATATGCAGAATTAGGTTTAGCAAAATGAAGGTATTTTGGATAATATCCCAATTCAAACAGTCAATATATTTTTTTTTGAAAAATAAATAATTTTTTAAAAATGAATATGAAACGAAATAGAATATAACCGAACCGAATGAAAATAATTATAAGAATGGAATATGCAAAATGATTATTTTGAATTATTACATTATTGGGAAAGAAACTACGTAGACTCTGGGTTCCAACAGGCAAGTCCATGTAGTGTTGTTTCGCTGGCAATAATAGCGCTATCGCCATAATATATAAACTTAACGATATGGCGAAACATGCACGTAAAGACATTTTGGTTGGTTGTTGTTATTATCATGATAATGCACATGATGATTAATCATTGTTAATTATGCCATAATCATCTTAATTATATTGATACTATACGTAAATTCCTCATGCATTGTAACAGTGATATTTTCTTTTCTTTATCCGGCAGTTTCTTTTATACCATTTGGTTCATGAGTTTAGGGTTTGAATTAAATTTACCATCCTCTAAGAAACATTTGACTAATCACAAATAACCGCTCTGATTATATTCTAATTATTATTTTAAATTACGAAAAAATTACATAATCATCATAGAATTTAATAGCATGATTAGCTACTCAGATTTTTTTACTCGCTCTTGTATATAATACAAAATAAATTATATTAATTTGTTTTGTTAGGATATACATAAAACTAATTCTATTTTTTTATTAATTTTATATGAATTAATTGACATGATTGAGACTAATTTTGGTGGTACTAGGATGTGAACAAGTTCATTGATTATTAGTTTAAAATTTAGGTGGTGATCAGCCGACGAATAAGTCTGTGTTAAATTATTAGTTTAATTTTTTTTTTAAATTTGTAAAGTGAGAAATAAATTTGCAGAAATGAATTAGGCTAAGAAAATATTGGTATAGCCCATAATGATGGACTATTAATGGGCTTCATCTATAAGCTCATATATCTAATTGGGTCGGCCCATAAATCTTATTTCCATACCTGTAATGTAAATCCTTAAATGACACGTGCATTCATCTATATGTTATACAAGACTATATATATATATATATATTACCATGTAAATAAATAAATAAATAATCATATTCTGTACTCCGTTTTGTTCCTCCAGATATTTGTTTTTCTGCAAAGGATTAATTTTAAAAGGAAAAAAAATAGCAAAGGGGATAACACAAAACCCTATCGTCTTCCAAGTCCACCACACACAAGCTCCGATAATGGCGGTTTCTTCTGGAATCTTCTCCACCTTTCTCTGCGTCGAAACGTCTCCGTTTCGCAGCTCATTGTCTCCTCGTTCGTCGTTCCGTCTTTCCCCTCCTGCTAACATGCGCGCGGTGCGCGCGGTGACATCCGCAACGGCGTCGCCGGAGCCCGCCGCCACGAAGAAGCGGGAGCCACGTGGCATCATGAAGCCCCGACCTGTCACTCCGGAGATGCAGGAAGTCGTCGGCGTGTCGGAAATCCCTCGTACCCAGGCTCTCAAGCGCATTTGGGCCTACATCAAGGAGAACAACCTTCAGGTATCGAACTCTTTCTCTGTCTCTTTCTGAAATTCGTTATGGTTTCGAAACATTTCTGGATTGGGCTTATGGGTTTTGTCTTTAGGGTAAGGTTTGTTTTTGGGTTTTGTTGAGTTGAGTTATAGGGTTTCTGACTATGGGGGATTAAGTCGACAGCATATTAGAGTTGGATGGGGTTGTGTTCATGTGGAGTTCTCATGTCTTGCTCTGCAGTTTAGTGTAATTTTAGGGTCTGTTTGCCATTTGGTTGTGTTGTCAGCTTAAACGATGGAAACCTGGTTAAGTTAGATGTTCGGTTAAAGAGATTAGGGTTTGCATTGTTGGTTGCTGATACTGCTTGGGCTTGTAATGCGTAATGCTATGGTTGTCAACATACTCCCTTTCTTAAATTATTGGGAAACTTGACTATTTGGAGATGGTAAATCTGAACTCATAGAACATTGTTACGAGGTATGGATTTTGAGTATTGTCTTCTGGTTCTGTGAATGCCAGTTTTCTGTGATATCTGCATCTCTGTTTACTGTTTTACAACTAAAGCTCCATTTTGGGTTTGTTGTTTGGTATACGATATCTGCATCATTGCTGTCTTTCAAACTCTAATTCATTTGTAGTGTTTATGTTGTTGTTTCTGTCTCCCCCTCTTGCAAATTGTGTTTCTTTTCGCATGTTTCAGGGTTCTAAGTCAGATATATCATAATCACCAGCTTTCACAACTGTGATAATGCTATTTTTCAACATGTGATAAAAAGATTGGTGTTGTTTCTCAGGACCCTGCAAACATGAGGGACATAATTTGCGACGAGAAGCTGAAGAAGATATTCGGTGGCAAAGACCGCGTTGGGTTCCTCGAGGTCGCCAAGCTCATCGGCCCTCACTTCCTCTGATGAATTCAGGATTCATCCGAGGTAATAAGGAAGACGACGACATCCTTCAGGGCCGTGAAAGAACCGGGGGTTCGAGAAATGAGAAGAGGCTGCTCTAGTTTTTTTTTTGTGGGGTTTGAAAGCGGTGAAATCAGTAGTTTTAGGGTTTCAAAGTTTGTAGTAGCCTTTGGAGGAGTTTTTGTTTTTGTGGCTTCAATGTCTGATGTCTACTCTGCTTCCTTCTGCAGTTACATATATTGATTTTAGAACACTTCCTCTTTTATGCATTTTATTTCCATTCCATTCCCATAAAAAAAATGGAAAAAGAAATTGCCAAATCATCAATGTTATTTGTACCTTTGGTTCTATATATCTACTTTCTTAAGATTGCAAGTTTACAACATTTATTATTTTTGTATTACAATTTTTTTTTCTTCGTTTTGCATTTAACTTTTGATTGTATGCTCATTTTTTTTAATTTAACTTTTAATTTGTTTATGCATGGAATGGACCTAATATGCTTGTCTATGGAAAATTTTGAAAGATCAATAATACATATGATGATGTGTATATTCTGTAAACAAATTTGAAACCCAGTGAAAAATTCGATGGAAACATTAGATTGCCTAACCGGTTTTGCTCAGCCGGTACAACTAGATTGACCGGTTTGGGGGTTGGTTTTCAAAGCTGAAGAAGATATGGCGGTACCCAAAAAAAAAAAAGTAATCCACTTCTCTTCTTCTTCCTCTTCCTCCTCCCGCTGCTTATAATAGTGCACGCAGAGAAACGCAGCTCTTCGCTTTCTCTTCCTCTAATGGCGGATAAACTAGCTCCCCCTCTTTTCCTTCCGAATCCACCTGCCTCAAAACCCTTATTTCCCGACCAGAACCACCAGCAACTCCCCCGGTCGCCGGTCTTTACTCCGCCGCCTCCGCCTACGTCGCAGCTGCCGGTGTCTCCTCTCCTCCGAGACGTGTTCAATCACCAGAACCCGAATTCCCGACAACCCATCAATCCGCATACGCCTAGAATCCGGACCCGGACGCGGATTGGCAAGTCCCGCGACCCGAACCGCGGCAAACCGTGGTCCGACCATGGCCTTTCCCCCGAGGGGAAGCAACTTCTTCGTTCCTTGATCGAATCCAGTTTTGATTCTGATCACCTTGATAGTCTTTTGTCGCAATTGTTCGAACCTTATAAGAATAACCCAGTTGGGAAAACACGTTCTTTATCCGCGGAGCTTCTGGGTCTTGTTAAGGGTTTAGGGTTTCACAAGAAATATGATTTAGCTCTGCGTGCTTTTGATTGGTCTAGGAAGCAGGATGATTACCAATCCATGTTGACTAACTCCGTTGTTGCTGTGGTTTTCAGTATGTTGGGAAAAGAAGGTCAAGTATCATCAGCTGCGACTTTGTTCGATGATTTGCAGAAAGATGGATTTGCCTTTGATGTGTACTCTTATACTTCACTAATATCAGCATTTTCTAGTAGTGGAATGTACAGAGAGGCTGTAATGGTGTTCAAGAAGATGGAGGAAGAAGGCATCAAACCCACTTTGATAACTTATAACGTGATCTTGGATGTGTATGGGAAAATGGGTATGCCATGGAATAAGATTACTAGCCTCGTGGAGGGGATGAAGAGTGCCGGGATTGCGCCAGATGTGTACACTTACAACACTCTTATAAGTTGTTGTAAAAGAGGCTTGTTGCATGAGGAAGCTGCTCAAGTTTTCGAGGAGATGAAGGTTGCAGGGTTTAGTCCCGATAAGGTTACTTACAATTCGTTGCTTGATGTTTATGGCAAGTCCAGGCGACCTCGGGAAGCTATGCAGGTTTTAAAAGAGATGGAGCTCAATGGCTTGTCTCCAAGCTTTGTGACATACAATTCCTTGATAGCGGCTTACACTAGAGATGGCTTGCTGGATGAAGCAATGGAGCTTAAGAACCAGATGGCTGAAAAGGGGATTCAACCTGACGTTTTTACATATACCACACTGTTATCGGGATTTGAGAAGGCTGGGAAGGACGAAGCTGCTATGAAGATTTTCGAGGAGATGAGAGATGTCGGGTGCAGCCCAAGTATTTGTACGTTCAATAACCTTATAAAGATGTATGGTAACAGGGGAAAGTTTACAGAAATGATGAAGATCTTTTACGAGATCAATGCATGCAGTCTTTCCCCGGATATCGTTACTTGGAACACACTATTAGCGGTGTTTGGGCAAAATGAGATGGATTCAGAAGTATCGGGTGTGTTCAAGGAGATGAAGAGAGCGGGGTTCATACCGGAAAGAGACACTTTCAACACTCTGATTAGTGCTTATAGTCACTGTGGTTCGATTGATCAAGCCATGACTGTTTACAAGAGAATGCTTGAAGCTGGGGTCACTCCTGATCTTTCCACCTACAATACTGTTATGGCAGCTTTGGCACGTGAAGGAATGTGGGAACAGTCTGAGAAAATTCTCGCAGAGATGAAGGATGGTCGATGCAAACCCAATGAATCAACTTACTGTTCTCTGCTTCATGCATATGCAAATGGCAAGGAGATTGATCGGATGCATTCTCTGATTGAAGAGGTGTACTCTGGTGTGATAGAGCCTCGTGCCGTTCTTTTAAAGAACCTCGTAATGGTTTGTAGCAAATGTGACCTTTTGCCAGAGGCCGAGCGTGCATTCTCCGAGCTTAAGGAAAAAGGGTTTTCTCCCGACATAAGGACGCTGAATTCAATGGTGTCTATTTATGGAAGAAGGCAGATGGTTGCGCAAGTCGATGAACTCTTGATCTTCATGAAAGAAAAAGGGTTTACTCCAACCTTGGCAACTTACAATTCCTTAATGTCTATGCATAGTCGGTCTGAAAATTTCGGGAAATCAGAGGAAATCTTGAGGGAAATACTGTCGGAAGGGATGAAACCGGATGTGATATCGTACAATACGGTGATCTATGCATATTGCAGGAACAGTCGGATGAGAGATGCTTCGAGAATATTCTCAGAGATGATGGATTCGGGGATTGATCCCGACGTTATCAGCTACAATACTTTCGTGGCAGCTTATGCAGCTGACTCGATGTTTGAGGAGGCTCTTGCTGTTATTAGGTACATGATCAAGCATGAGTGTAGACCGAATCAGAACACCTACAACTCCATTGTTGATGGGTACTGTAAGTTAAACAGGAAGGATGAGGCGAGATTGTTTATCCAAGAACTGAAGAAGCTCGATCCACATATTCCAAAGGACGAAGACTGCAGGTTGCTGGAACGCATAGCTAAGCAATGGCCATAGCTAGTAGAGCTCGGCTGCAGGTCGTGGATAGTGTTGTGAAGTGTAACAGAAACAATATTCTGCAGTATTTCAGAAAGGAAAGGAGTTTCTTCATTATTCCTCTGATAATGAAAAAAGTTTTCACCTAATTCTTTGCCTCAATGACTGTGACTGTGCAATGATAGTAGCAGCAAAGTTCTCACAGCCAGAAGTCTTTGTATCATTCATAATTACAGGAAGATAGATACAGTTAGGAGCATGATTCTTCATCTTCAGACAGTTTCTAACTTTAAGATTTGTATGAAAGCTCAGATCTTTGAGAGCAAAAGGGCGAGATGCTCATCTGAAACTTTGATTTCATTGCATGTTCTCAATGAAGAAGCTAATCTTGCGGCCAATTGATGCTTACACTGTCACAGATAGGAAAAAATAAAACAAAGAAAATGGTGAAGACAAAATCAAGAACATCATTTTTGAAGCAGTAACTCAAAGCATCTGATGGATCTTACACAGTGTTGTTCTCCTCTGCTTACGACATCATAGAAGAAAGAATAACATCCGCAGTAATCTTCAGGGAAGCACAAATACTCCTCCCTCTTCTGAGATTCTCCGACAACCTAAAACCACACCAAACAATGTTCCTCATATCCATCCATAGATCTCTTTCGAATTCTGTCTTCTAACCGATCAATTTGGGCAAATGCTTCATGGGAACACTTGAGATGTGTAAACGGAAGTTTAGATGTATAACCTGAAAGATGGATCTTCCACTCGGCTCGCCGGAGATTCTCTTGACGCCTCTCTTGTCCACAATTCGGGTGGCTTTCTCGAGGTTTTTACCGAACAAGAAATGCAAGCTGCATTGCAGAAGAAACACTCCACATCCAACCAATGATACCGAAACAAAGATCACACCACGTTTCAGAAGAATCATCCAAGCAAAATCTAAACCACAGTGATGAAATGTGGAAGATTCAGAACCCTAATTCCAGACTCCCAGACTGTGACTGCAATCGAGAAACCCACATTTATCCACAATACCAAAAGGCTGAAAAATCAAACTTTTTTGTTTTTACCAACTGGACTCATCAAATTCAACCTCTCGCTTCAATGTAGGGTTTCAGAAGACCTAAAAGTAACCCTGCGAAAAGCTAGAACCCTAAACCTAAACAGGATGTGGGTCTCCACGAATTCGCGAGAAAAACTATAAAGATCGATTCGAAGATAACAACGAATACTGATTAATGTATAGATTTCAGAAGAAAGAGCGAAGGGATTCGAGAGAGACTGACATGGAAAGCTGATCATCAGTCACTGCAACAGTTTTTTGAGTAAAGATTCTCGTCATGTTTAAGATCAAAAGCCAATACGCGACAAGAAGAAAACAGATTTGTGGGGGTGAGAGGAGGGTTTGAGCACCTGAGCAAGTAGATTCGATCGTCGACCAGACAGCGTCTGCGACCAAGAGAGCTTCGTTCATCGTTTTCTTCTCGACAAGCTTTGTTGATTTTAAGGCATTGATACAAACCCTTCAGTGGAAAAAGAACAAAAAAAAAAGAAAAAAAAAAGCTGAGTAGCTGTTGAAAGTTTTTTTTTGGGGGGCTCTGACAATATTATAGTTATGGAATTTCTTTTTCATAAATATTACTCAAAAATATTAGTTGATGTAACGTAATTGTAATATTTTTTTATAACTGCGTATGATTTTAGAAAATTATTTATAAGGAGAGGACGTAAAAACCTAACATCTTATCACATTCATTATTTCCTCAAAAGGACGACAACTGATTCAACCATAAACTAACTTCTAAGACGACAACCAACAAAAGACAGAACTCAAGAACATTCGACCCAGGCAACCGACCAACCAAACAAACAAATAAAATCGCCACCAAGAACAGGATCCATCACCACCATTCTCCTTCTGCGTTCTTCTGTTTCTTCCGACAGATTGTTATCATCATCCCTTTCACCAAACCTTGAGCAAAGCCCTCCTTAAGATTCAGGACAGTGTGTGGGGAAGACGCTGCTCTTTGGCCTCCTATGATCGGAGGGAGTGGATGTTCGGTGGGGAGTTGACACCGCCGTTCCTGAGCTTCTTCTTGGTCCCGGGTCTCGGGTGGTCGAGGTAAACCACGATAACGCTTATATCGTCGTGGAAATGGCGCCTTATTCCTCTCTCGATCTCTGCCATGTCCTCGTATCTCATTTCCCGTTTCCTTGCAGCTTCCTCTAGAGCCGCCTTCACGAGTCTCCTTGCAATTCCCTGCAGAAAACAGTATCCGGAATATTAAAAAGGGATACGATCGAGAAACTTAGCTCAGGGGAAGTTGAAATCAGGGTTTCGGGTAGTAACTTACGGCCCTAGGGTTTTTAAGAACAATTTCTACGGCTGCTTCATCACTCAGCTGTTCCCAGAGACCGTCTGATGCAAATATCAGAAACAAGTCCTGTGGTCTGATCTTCCTTACCAGAACAGATGGTTCAGCTGTCAGCGCGGGTTTCCGCAGAGGAGCGGGGCTTCCCAGCCCACGCTGCTGGAAAATCGGGCCCCTGTAAAACTCAGGTTTCTTCAAGTATACATCCCCAATTGACCTCGATACCTGTAAACAAGAAAGGGTCAAGAAATCGTTCGGAGAATTTACACACGGAACTCGACGTCCATGTAAACATATCATCTGTGCTAGCAATCAAGAGCATGCCTTGTGATCATAGTACAGAGCTCTGACTACCGGCCAGATTCATAGCCTCTGGCACTATGCATTGTCGGACTAAATCTCACTAAGCTGCATGAGACAGTAGAGAGTTCAGGAGCCAGACCAATGGATTCCTGGAGCATTCCTCAACTCCATAAGCAAATGGAAATAGAGAAAGATGCCATTAGATCACATCTTCAATTCACACAGTCACACAGATATTCATCATACAAAGAGATGTCAGTAGAAAAACAGGCAGAAAAGAGGAAGAAGAAACCGAGAACAAACAGCTATCTCACCTGAATTATGCCTTTAATCCTCCAAACACCATGTGTGTAGACGACAATATGGGAATCGTCAGGGTTAAGTGCCTTAACCTCCTTTCTAACCTCCTCAACTGCAACATTATGATCGGTGGATAACCGTTCGGCTACCACCCTTTTAGTCTTTTCACCGGAAACCTTTCTCCCGAGAACGGCTCTCGAATCCCCAAGATTGGCAACATAGAGTGTGCCATCGGAGATTGCACCAACCAGACAACATGATCCGACTGTAGCCATCTGCGGTTTCATCGGCAGGGACCGTTCAACCATATGGCAGAACTCCTCCTCAGTCGCTTTGAATGCCCTTTTGATCACATCTTCGGATAACCCTCCTTCCTCCCTGGAAAACCCTGCAAATTTCAACATAAAAACGGTTCATAAGACAACAGAATCTCGGAGATGAATCTACTCATAGACAAAGAAAACGATGATACTGAACATTTCCATTGCGGCAGAGATCAAAACGATAAAAATAAACAACTGTTCATGAACCAAAACAAATTTCGGTCGTAAACCACAGAAACTGATCATCACAAGTAAAATCTATTATGCAAGTAAACGTCTTTAACGTACTAAACGAGTATAATTCAGGTGAGCTCCAAATCTGGTGATAAACATCAAAACACAGTCAGTCAGAAAATTCAGAGGCAAGAGAACATTCTAACCCGAAAACAGAGAATCCTCAAAACAGCACATAAACCCTAAAGACAGTCCCGTGAAAGAGCTGAGATCATTACTGTGCATAAAAGGGAAGAGATGCATGTTGACGAATCTAGAAGCTTCGGGTCCTCCATGGCCGTCGTAGACGCCGACATAAGTAGCTGAAGCAGAGGTAAACACCTGACTCTGATCCTCAAGGCTTGAGTTCGCCTGAACCACAGCGATAGAGTAATCACCGCCAGCGTGCTGACACAAGTCCGACTGCCAGAGTAAGGCACCGCCATCGGACCGGCATCCCAAACACCGCTCGACAGGCCGCGCAAGAGCTCGCAACATTGTCATCGAGAATGGTCCTTCCAAGGAAATGAAGTGAGGAGGATTATGGGTTTCGATCGAAGATTCCTGGGTTTTTCGATTTTTACGAGAAGATTAATCTGGTTTTTGTTTTATACGATTGGTTTCTCTGAAGGGATTGATTGAGCAGAGAGTTGGTATAAGAGCGGAGACCGCGTGGAGAAGACGATGTCAAAAACTCTTGACTCTGCCGTTGGTTATTTACCTCCGTAGACTACACGTCGTTTTTATAAACAGAGTTTTGCTTCTTTTTTTTTTTAATTTTATTTTCTTTTATTCATTTTTTTATAGCTCATTAGTCATTCCTTTATGAAGGCTTTTTAGTTTTTCTTTTAAAGTTATTTTTCCATATTATTTCTTAATACTATGTATATGTAATTACTCTCTTAGAGGTAATTAACATCATATTTGCATAGCCTTATATTTTATGGGTATACATTTATTAGTCAACGGTTAGTATTGATTAAAAGTGATCAATAAATTAAAATAACTAAAAAGTAATGATATTATTTCAACCGGATCTTTAAATTAGATAAACTTTTTTAAATCAAAATTCAGATTTTTTTACAATCTTTAAATTTTTTTATTAATTTTTGCGACCTATTGGATTATTTTCCCTTGGGCGAAATTTCATAAAACGGTCAAATCACACACGAAACGCCATAAAATAATTGAGGATATATATGAGCTGCTTCGAAATTAGAATCTCATAGTATAGTCATGAGATCAGCCGAATACTAAGCTATGAACATTTTTTTAAAAAAAAAGGGATAATGTATTATTATTTTCCATAATCATGGGGAATTACAACGAATAGATAAAAATTACCGTATAACTAATCCTTTTTTTTTCATTAAATAAAAAATGACCATATCCATAGCAGAAAATTTAATCAGGATTAAGACGAGGTGTAACCTACGTGTAGCCTAGTGTGTTATTTCCTTGTTGGGTAAGAACAAATATTCTCCTAATATAATATTTAATCCAAAAATATTATGAATTAAGTAACGCCCCTAGTCAAAAAAATAGTTGACAAATTATGGAAATAAGAATTGTTTTTGGATTGAATTGACACGGCGATCTTTATCAACATGTAATAAAATTAGGGGCTTAGAATTTTCCGTCGTCGGATCTTATTTTAATTAATTTATTACCTGTATGCATATATTTTTTCAACATGTAGGCTATTATTTTATTTATCAAAATCGCGCATTTTAGTTTAATTTATACTTTTGACATGGACCGACTTTGATTAGCCTATGTCGCCACTAAATTTTAGTTCGTTAAAGCAAAATAAAGAAACATATATTTCAAAAAAGACATAAAAATTATTATTTAAAATGCATACATACATATATATATATATATATATATATATATATGACTAAGGATGATGATGATGATGATGATGATGATAATAATAATAATAATAATAATAATAATAATAATAATAATAATAATAAGTAAATTAAAACCGTGGACGTATATCACTAGGTCACACCATTCAAGAACGTCGGGGTCCAATCGTATTATAGACGTATACTTCGAGCGGAGATTCGACCAAAACAAGATTTTTGTCATCATTTGCAAATAAAAGTAGTTGGAAAGAGCTTTAAAATATTTGCGATCACGTACATAGATAATACCTATGGTGACTACGTACGAAGAAATTGAAAACATAAATGTTGGTCGACCGATTACAAAATGAAAAAGAAAATTTAAATCGAGAGATATTTACGACCCTTTCTCGAGAAAAGAGTGGTGATGTATGCGACCGACCCAACCCCCCTTATTTTTCTGTTATTGATGGTATGGCAAGGGAAACATAGATTAAAAAAAGGGTCGATAAAATTTTATTTTCGTTTATTTAATTCATGCAAAATTTGCATGCCCTTTAAAATTGGTTGCTTATCTAAAAGTATCCCCCCAAGTGGAGTAAATGTATATAATCATCGTTTGAAGGATTATTGAGGTCGAGTCTCTTAGGCCCATAACTCATAAAAGGAAATTTGTCATCAATTTTTTTTAAATAAAATGGTTGTAACATGGATGAAAATTTCATCATTTTATTTAAATAAATTTTGGTTGTAACATGTCAACATTTTAAATAAATGTTTGTAATATGGTATTGCCTTATGTGTTGAACTTTTCACGGATTTGTTTTTGACGCAGTAAAGAAACAGATGGGCGACTGGTCAACCAATTTTATACATTTTCACGTCCAACGCAATTATTTTATACAAGGCGTGTAGTAATAATTCAATTTTTGTTTAAAAAAATAGAAAAGAAGAAAAGTGATAGACTCACGGACGCCGGCGGAGATCATCGGAAGCTTTCCACCGATCGGAAGCGGGAGGAAGGAGAAGAGGGAAGAGGGAGGAAGGAGAAGAGACAACCATGAAGAGCAAATCGAAGAGCTACAAGAGGAGGAAGCTTGGGTTACCTACTGTTCTCGCCTTCTGTTCGTTCTGTTTCCTCGCCGGTTTCTATGGATCCACCCTTCTTTCTCAGGTGCGGTTCGGCTGTTTTTGGTGATCTTGAATCTCAATTCGTTTTTTCTCGTTGTTAATTGATCGGATGTTTGTTTTTTCTTGTAGAAAGTACCCGTTGTTAGACCGAAGTTGAGGATGTTGGAAATGGTGGACGGAGAAGAAGATGATGTCCCGATGGCGCATGGTGAAACTGGAGACGGATCCGTCGGATCGATTCCGTATCAGGTGATTTCTAGTCTAATTTGCTTCAATTCCGTTTCGTTTCTGTCTCGACTTTGCGATTGATCCAACCAATATTGCGGGAACGAGCAATCTGCATTGTGCCTGTCTGAATCGTGAACCGATGGTCATATTGTGCGCTTTGGTTGATGTAACTTTGGTCTGGAGATGTGTGTTGTAACGGGCATGAGGTTCTGGATTCACTAGCATTAACAATTGAAGCATACAGTGTGATCTGTTCATCTTTTGTGGAATTATATGTGAAAGCTTTGGTTCATCATTAAACGTTAGGTACTGAGTTGGAGACCAAGGGCTCTATATTTTCCGCACTTCGCCTCATCTGAACAATGCCAAAGAATAATTGAGATGGCGAAGACTCGCCTCAAACCTTCTTCTTTGGCTCTCCGGAAAGGAGAAACTGTCGAGAACACTAAGGACACTAGAACGAGGTTTTCCTTCACTCATTACATTTTCATGTTGAATCAAAAGCTATATTTTATAGTAGCTGCCGATTGATAATTTCGGTACCAGCTTGTTCAGTGTATGATAATTTTTTTTGGATCCCTAAACTCTTCATTGCTGTTTATAAAGCTCAGTGGTTGCCTGATTTTGTTTCATCCTTTCAACCGCTGCAGCTCAGGAACGTTCATTGGTGCATCTGAGGATGATACTGGGGTCTTGGATTTTGTCGAGAGGAAAATTGCAAGGGCTACAATGATTCCAAGGAGCCATGGAGAGGTATGATTTCTACTTGCCAGTATATTGTGTTATTTTTAGTACCAATTAGGTTATGGAAAGCATTACAGGCACTCATGTAGGTTGTTGGTTTAGGTTTTTGGATGCTTATTACTATTTCCTCCCCTTTTGTTGTTTAGATGCCAATATAGGTAATTGGTTTCTGAAATTTTTAGTTAGTGGATGCCTTGCTAAATGTTCCAAGCTCTTCTAGATAGCACTAATTAGTATCTAGTCAGGCAATTAGAGAAACGAGAAAATATTAGTGTCCAAGCCTTTTAAAGCAACGATTTCGATGTTCACATGTTGCAGAGAAGTGGTGCTTCCGTGGGATTATGATCTAAGAATGAATGCTTTGCCAATTTTGGAATCCAGCCATTCACTTTTTGTTCTCTTAGAGATACTCTTTTGCTTCTTGTTTCACCTCCTCTTGAGGGCTATCTTCTGATTCTCATATTTGTTCCCGAGATTGATTTGGCAGTCATTCAATGTTCTACGGTATGAACTTGGCCAAAAGTATGACTCACACTATGATGTATTCAACCCAGCCGAGTACGGCCCACAATCAAGCCAAAGGGTAAATCATTTCTGTTGTATATCTGTCATGTAGTAGAATATTTTCATTCATAATTTTCTTCAGCTGTGACCTCCTTGCTATTTAGACTTCGATACCTACTGATAGAGTTGTGGATCATTGCATATGTGCAGATTGCTTCCTTCTTATTGTACTTATCTGATGTAGAAGAAGGCGGTGAAACCATGTTTCCATTCGAGGTCGGTTTACAATGTAGCATTTGTTTTTGTCCCATAAGTTGCACATTATGGATCACACATTTCATCAAACCCTTAATTCAGAGCACTTTTGATTACCAGAATGGTTCCAATATGCACAGCGGCTACGATTACAAGAAATGCATTGGGCTTAAAGTAAAGCCCCGGAAAGGAGATGGTCTTCTGTTTTACTCTGTCTTTACAAACGGAACTATCGATCAGGTAAAACCCTTTAAAACCCGACATCTTATCCACATCAATAACTAGCTTGCAGTATCCACTCCTTCACCATTACTTTGCCAGGCATGCCATTTGTACATCTGGGAAAAAAAAACGTGATTTTCGGACAGAACATTCTGAACAGAAGATGTATTTTTTCGGCTATTTGTCATGAATCTAGACCTTTCTGCAGTTATTTTCTAGACAAGAGTTTCACTTGATCGATTTTTTTTAATCATCAGACATCGCTACACGGAAGCTGTCCGGTGATCAGAGGAGAAAAATGGGTGGCGACAAAGTGGATCAGAGACCAAGAACAGCAAGAAGGCTGATCTGAGTATGCTCTTCTTGCCTCCATTCCTATGATCTCACAGTTCTTGTCCTCTCTGTCTCTGTATGAACAAATCTTCTACCATAGTTTCAAAAAAGAAAAAAGAACTGTGTTGTCACAATTTCAGGAGGAGAGTTGAAGCAAGTAGACCACTTTTATGCCATTGAAAACTAAAAAGCAAATGGAAAGCTCAGATGGAGAGAGAGAGAGCAAGTACAAAACCACTGATATGGTTGGGAAAAATTCATGTTGAATTAAATACTTTCAACTGTTATCATAGGGATGAAAAACTACGAGATGAGATTATTGTTTGTGCTATCCAAATCACTCCCGTTTCGGATTAGTTTTGTTACAAAAAATATTTTTTGTATCTTAATAGATGTTTTAGATTTTCTAGATGATTTTTTTAAAAAAAATATAATTTTATTTTTAATTAAAAATATTTAACTTTATAATCATTAATAAGAATATGGTTTTAATAAGGTTATATGCGATTTTTTTTATATTTTTTTAAAAAAACTGCAAAAAATCTAAAAGGATATTTATTAAGGAATGGAGGGAGTAAATAATAGGGAAAATTAAATGAAGATGAAATTAAATAAACGGAGAAAATTGAGTGAAGAAGAAATATAATATCTGTAAAATAAAAATCCAATAAAAGTTGAATGCCAATTTGAATTCAACATCTAGATGATCATAGGAAATAGCAGTAAACGACAAAATATTCATAACCAGAATTTACTTTTCGTCCGAAATTATTGCAACTACAAATGGAAGGGAGGGTCTTCGGCCCCACTTTTCCACGCCCAATTTGATATACTTTGACCAAATTCACGCCTTGTGTGTGAGACTTATGCAAAACCCCCTTCTACTTTTTCGGACCCAAAGATTCAACAGAGAAGTCATCTTATCTTTAGTCTTTACCCCATCGAACACTGCTTTGAATTCTTCCTCCTACTCGTATTCTTGACTTTTGACTCTTGGCATCCTCTCTCTCTCTCCTGTGAACTTCTTCTCTTGCCTTTACCATTGGCTTCCTCTCTCTCTCTCTCTCTCTCTCTCTCTCTCAGAGTGTGCAGAGATGAGAGCTCAAACTGCGTGTCTTGTCTCTCTGTCCTTAGCCCTTCATCTCCTCCTTGTCTCTAATGTCCATTCCTCCAACTCCGAAGGTAAATTCAACTCCTCTGTTTCCTTCTTTCAGATTTTGAGAAAGTGCCCATCAAATCTTTTCACCAAAAACGGCACTTGTGAACCCATAACTAAGAGAATCTTTGATATTGTCATGAGGAACAGGGGATGCGTTGCAGGCGATGAGATTGAGACTCGAGGATCCAAGGAATGTGATGCAGAGTTGGGATCCGACACTCGTGAACCCATGCACTTGGTTTCACGTCACCTGCGATTCCTCCAACCATGTCATCCGCCTGTAATTCACTATTCTTAATCTTGATCATCTTCTTGTTTCTGTTTTCTGGGTTTGAATCCCAACCCCTTTGTTCTGTGAATTCGGACGTTATTACAGAGACTTGGGCAACTCCAACATTTCTGGTACTTTGGGACCTGAGCTTGCCCACCTCCACCACCTTCAGTACTTGTATACATCTCCCTCCCTCTCTCTCTCTCTCTCTTCGTTGGTTGAATTTCATTCTATAAAACGTGGGCATTAGGGTTTGAAATCCTGCAGATGTTAACGTGGGCCTGCCACATGTTATTTGGTTTCTGAGAGTCATTCCTCAAGGATTTGATTTGTGGTATCAACAGGGAGTTATATGATAACGAAATCAAGGGGGAGATACCGCATGAGCTTGGGGAATTGGCGAAGTTGGTGAGCTTGGATTTGTACGGAAACCATCTCCATGGCCAGATCCCCAAGTCCTTTGCCCACTTGAAGTCCCTCAAGTTCTTGTAAGCACTCTTCAAAATTCAACTCTCTCTCCTAAACCGATTCGGTTAACCCGAAATTGTACGTAAATCTCGTTATCCGGTTTTCTTCAGGAGGTTGAACGACAACAACCTAACCGGACCGATCCCGAGAGAGCTCACCTCTCTCACCAATCTCGGCGTCTTGTAAGTTCGAAAATTTTACGAAAAATTACGTCAACTCTCTATAATTCTCAATTTTACGTAATATTTTTGAACTCGAACCGGTCCGTGCCCGTTGCAGCGACGTTTCTAACAACGATCTTTGCGGTACGATTCCCGTCGATGGACCCTTTTCGAGTTTCACACCAGAGAGGTATTGGATCACAACCTCTTTATAACCCTTTTTTTAAAAAAATTTGCAATTCATGAAGCTGGATTTATGTTTTTTTTTATTACAAGATGAATGCGAATTTTCGGGATTGGATTCATGTTTTATAAGTATATATATTTTTTTTCCAGCTTCGAGAACAACAAATTGAATGGACCGGAGCTTAAAGGACTAGTGCCGTACGATTTCGGATGTTGAATAAATCAACCATTTGAATCCGAGCCTGGGATCTTTGTTTCGTAGATTCTCTGCATGTTTCTTTTTTTAATATATTAAGTTATTCGTATGGTAATTTTGGTTTATCTTAACCAATGCAATCAATCCACGGTTCCAATTTTATCCGGTTATCAAATCCAAATGAATACTTTTTTTTTGTTTACCATCACTAGAGATGATTTTACAATTTTGACAGACGAAACTAGTTTCGCATTTTATTTGAGATTTTATGGGAGATAAGAAATTCTTATTTTTTTTTAAAATTTCACAAAAAGGTGTTTGGACGTAAGGTTATTTGCTATTTAATTATTTAATTAACCAATCTGTTTAAAATTGTATTATTTCTAAAATATATTAGGAAAAAAAGTAATTTTTTTACACTTTTTGGTGGAAAACATTGCTACAGTAGGATGAGATTATTGACAATTGATGACATTCAATAAGTTGCTATTTTTCTAATTCCAATTATTTCGGTATCAAAACAATAATTCTATGAATTGATAAATTAATTTTGATTTAGTTTGCAGTTGACATCGTGATATTTTTTTAAAAAAATTAGTAAACATTTTAATTTATGTTTAATTCAATCCGACCAAATTTAGGTTAGTTCAAATTTAAACAAATCATTTCAAATTAAAAGAAACTAAAATTGAACAACAAATAGTTTAATTTGGATTTTTTTTTTCTCATTCTCGTCCATGGTACTATCCGTTTTAATTTATGTTTAATTTGTACCGGCTTCGTTGAAAACGTTGATAGATACAGAAATGCGTTACTACTAAAACAAAACAATTCAAATATAATATTCTAAAATATTTTGGATGGCTCGGAGAGCGAGTAAGATACAATTAAATACTCTCGAGAGTAAAATCTCACTACAGCAAGTGCAGTAAAATTATTTCCTTACCAAAAAAAATAGGATTTGTGAAATATCTATATGTGAGTCACTTTCTTCTTTTCACAAAACACCGTTTTGTTTAAACCCTGACAAAACCCTCCAAAAGAATCGGAATCAGAAAGCACGACGGAGGAGAACAACAAAAAATGAGCGGCGCGTTGCTTCGAAGTGCCGCCTCCGACGCCGGTCGGCTGTTTCTCCGGCGAAACTCGCCGAGGAACTCGTTTAAACGAGTTGACTCGATCACAAGGGATTTTGGGTTTCTGCATTCGAGGGCTTATTTCCGTTCGGCTCAGGTTCTGGGAAAACCTAAGTTTGTCGGAGTCTCCGGCTTCTGTTCTTCTTCGATGGCTTCGACGGCGTCCATCGCGAAGGTGGGTTTCGTCGGATGGTATCTGGGTATGGTGAAATCGAGGCCGGTTTTGACGAAGAGCATCACATCCTCGCTTATTTACATCGCTGCTGACTTGTCTTCTCAGGTAATCAGATAAGGTTTTGATTTTTTTCTGTTCTAAGCTTGATGGGTTCTGAGGATTTAAATTCTGGGAAATTGTGGCCGTGGAAACTTGTTTTTGGTGGTTTTCATGAACTTTTTTTTATAGGCCTTTGATATGACTGTTATAAGCTCGATTTTAGGAAATGTGATGATGATGGTGAAGGTATTTCTTTGTTTAAGGGTATGGAATTCGAATCCGTTTCAGAGTAAAGAGATAGGAAACAGAACATAAAGTTACAAGCTTTTAGCTGTTATTACTAGTGTCTTTTGTAGTATGTGATTGTTGATCTCGGATAGTGAATTTTAGTCAATCTGTTTTCTCTTCGAAGATGTGGAGTTATAGGCTGTTTGTGTCCTTAGATGGCTTCTTGAAAATTAGGCTGATTTAAGCTTTCAAACATTTTGCCGAATTCAGTTGTGTGGTTTCAATATGTACCTAACATCGTGTGGAGTTGAATAAGTAACAGCCAACGGTACATATGAGAATCTCAGTTTGATCCATTTTGTTTATTCTTCCAACACAAAGAAAGGGATATGAGTTGAATTTACAACTTGGGGGCGCAACTTTTATTTACTTATTTAATTTTTTATTGACACCCTTGTTATTCTGTTAAGGAGTTACATTAGCATCATGAGGCATGAATTGGGGAATTAGCTGCTTTACTATGCATCCAGGTGTTCTGTTTGCAACTTTTAGTTGTCCTGTTTCTCAGTTTTTTATCTTGAGTTTCATGATAGCTTGCTTTCCTGATTGCTGTCCGGAGCTTATCTTGGATCTTTGAAGCAGGCAATTGCACGCGAGTCTTATGACGTGGAAAGAACAGCACGAATGGCAGGATACGGGCTATTGATTTTGGGACCTACGCTTCACTACTGGTTCAATCTCATGTCAAGATTGTTTCCCAAACAAGATTTGATCACAACGTTTAAGAAAATGGCCTTGGGTCAGACCATCTATGGGCCTTCCATGACCTTGATTTTCTTCTCCTTGAATGCCTTCCTACAGGGTAAGCATTGTATATCTATCTGAAAAATGTTGTATTCTTCAATTCAATGTCTTTTGATTGGGTGATTAGTTTAGTTACTTGATTTTACATTGTCTTGGCATAGGCCTTTTCTTCTTCTTGATGACTAGCATTTGTATAGGTGTAAAAGTTGTTAGGTGATGCCTTTTTTTGTTTTTGATCTCTGTCAGTGATGAGGCCTTTAGAGTAGTTGCCTGACAATGTACCGAGTTTGACCATGTTTGTTTAGTCTTGAACTTGTCTCACGGACATCATTGGTGGTGTGTCCATTGTTATCCATAATAAACTTGTTTGTCTTGGCGAGTTTTCATGGATTTATGAATTTGTGTCGATAAATCAGTTTCTTCCTTCAATTGTCGGTTCAGGTGAAAGCACTTCAGAGATACTCTCCAGATTGAAAAGAGACTTGCTCCCTGCATTACTAAGTGGCATCATGTATTGGCCTATGTGTGACTTCATAACATTCAAATTCTTCCCCGTCCATTTACAGGTATATCGCCTTTCCTCATCTGTTTTTTTTCAGATTCTATGAAGTTATTTGGCTTGCATTCATCATGCTGAGCCATGTGATTTTGATTCAAGACAAACCCAGAACTCCATTAGCTTCCCTCTTCATCACTCTGTTTTACATCGGATCCTGCTAGTTATATCGGCTTATAACACAATATCATTGATTTTGGTTTGTCTGCAGCCTCTCGTGAGCAACTCATTTGCGTATCTATGGACAGTATATTTGACTTACATGGCAAGCCGAGAGAAAGCAACTGCTATTGCGAGCTGAAACACCCGAGTATCCATGGAACACTCTTTGTATCTTAATAGATGTTTTAGATTTTCTAGATGTCAAATCATTTTTTTTTTTTCTACGTCTAGTGTCTTGTAGCTGATTAACCATCCATCTAGGTTAGGGTACGGGTCCGATAGCTGGGGTTTTGGAGGTATCTGACCTCGAATCCAAGTTTTTCGGGTTTTGTGATTCGGAATCTATCCTCTTTCAGGACGATATACCTCCGTTACATAGTCTCTTACCAGAACAGGGGACAGTATAAAATCACTTTTAATGCTTATTCTTCATGATAAGGCCAGTGGTTGAATTGAGTAATGTTCCCCAACTTGAACTGCAATTAGCAGAAGCAGCAAAATCCTTCAAGATCCCTTTTTTCTTTCTTTCTATAGGTTTCTAATGGCAAATGTAACAGCTTTGAACAACTATGCATTTGGATATGTATGCTTCCTTCTATCAAGCAATGAGTTCTTTTACTTTTAATGTTTCTTTGAAGTTATTCTTCAGCATCCCTTAATAGTAATTGAATCTAAAGATGGCAACTTCAGATATTACAAACTTTCAGGCATCAAGTACACGCAAGACTTGGTCTCATGAGAAACGGATAGAATTTGCTATTTGCTTTTCCATTCAAAATTTGTTACATTAAAAGAAAGAAAAGGAAAAAGCAAAAAACATAAAAGTGAAGAAATCAGCTAAACAAATGATCCAATATCTACTTAAAACCTCAATACCAGAACTTATACACCCCTTGCTTGTTTCCACACCTCAAGAACTCTCCAATGGCGGTTATTTGGAGAAAGCCAACCCAGATCCGAATTCCAGGAAAGAATTTCCGGTCAAATATCAAACTTGTCGCTCAAATGCGAAACCGGTTTCATGTGATAAGCCTCTACTCTTCCGAAGAACGAGAACTGATCTTCTCGAGATGTATAGGCCATTCCTCTCCAAGAACCTGAGGATTCAACTCCATTGCAGCATGGAAATCAAGCATCGATATGTAAGATAACCTTTTCGGTTGCTGCTGCATGTACCGGCCATTCCCAACGAGCTGGCTGTTCATTTCTCTGGACGGTTCATCTCCATGCCGAGAACGGGCCAGATTCAAACAGGGCTCGATCAGTCTTCTCAAAAATGCATCCAATCCGTTATTCAGAAGACTAACACTGTCCATTGAAACTCTTAGCCCTTCCATCTCCAACTTCCTCTCCAATCGACTCCTCAGTGTTCTAGTATCGGGTAGCTCCCCTCTGTTCTGACACGTCTCGAGGTTGATACTACTACTGCTACATATGGATACATTGGAAACAGACTTTCTAGCTCCGGTTCTATGATTGATCGACACACCAAGAGGAGCTGTAACGGGACTTCTGCTCTGAACGCTCGGGCTTCCCGCCATTTGTTCAACCTCTTCTCCTTCCTCGACAGAGGCAACTTCCATTGGAGGTCTGCTACCTAGAGAAAGCAATTCAGTGGCACTCTGTGCCTTTGACATGGACTCGTCATTCGTAGTGGTAATACTCTGAGGCTTCCCAAGCGGTCCAAGTGGACTTGGTCGGTCTCTAAACTTCCTCGACCTGCACTTGGGAGGCGAAGGAGGAAAGGGAGAATCCCCGTAAAGAGACTGAACATGATTCTTCTGATTCCCGGCCCCGGATCTGAAATTGTTCTCAGCTCTCCTCAGGTTTCTTGGCGGAGGAGATTTCGCAGCACTTGCATTCTTGACAATGGAACGGATTAGACGGTTGTGAAGAGGGATGTTCTCCCTACCGATCGTCTTAAGACAGAACTTATCAAAATCAGACTTGCAGACCCTCAATGTAAGGAACTTACGGAGCTGTTCAAAGTACTTCTCTGCTCTTTGATGCCCAATTTTCCGAAAGATGAGGGCTTTTATCTCTAATGTATCCAATCGAACAAAACTTTGATCTGAGCCCATTTTCACCAATTTTCAACTGAATTAAAACCTCATCAAGAGTCTGAACTCTCAAGGAGATCCGAGATTGGAGAAAATCGGCCTCTTCCCAATCCAAGACCTAAAAACCCCAAATTCTCAAACTTTCTGCATACCTGCAAAATCAGATTCATGAATCACACAGACATAAAAAAACGAAAAACCCAAAGTGAAGAAAACAAAGTTCAGGTTGAACCTGAGCTCAAAAGGAAAGTTCATTGTTCAATAGACTGACAAAATCCTTTACGTAGTATAGCTAAAGAGGTGAAATCAAGACAGACCCACGAGACAAGAACCGAGATTGTCTCGCAACTACGAGTTGCTGCGAGACACACAAACAGAGGAAATGAAGCACAGATTTTCGCCGGATCCGACTTGAAAGCAACGAGCTTTATCGGGAAACAGTCCAGTCCCAAATCGAATTGAGAAGAGAATCGAGAAACCCAGACCCAGAATCGAAGATCGAGAGAAATTAAACTGTGTTAACGTACCAGTAAGAGGGATTGATTGATTTAGCCGGAGAATTTCCTCGATTTATGCTGTTCCCGATGATGTTGTGCCCTAAGGGATTTTGTTTTTGTTTTTCCTCGTAATTTTCGGCTTATGGATTTCGCTTGTTTTTTTGGGCTCCTCTCTTCTTCTTTAATTATGAGTTCGGTTTCGCACGTGCGTGAAGTAAAAAGACCGAACGGTGGATTTATATTATAGGGATCAGTCCGGAGACAAACACACGTGTGTGAATATTTTTTGGCAAATTTTATTTGCCATCAATTTTTTATAATATTTTCTTCGATATTTGATTTACATTGCTTTCACTTGTTTTCTTTTAAATTTTTTTCTTTATATCTTTTAAAACTTTTTCTTGTGAGAGATACTTTTAGTCCTTTCTCCATTATTATTTTTCATTTATAGTAATATTTTATTGATTATTCTCACAAATCTATGTAAATATATGTAGTATTTGACAAAAAAACATAAATTTTAGAAAGCTAACATTTTCCGTACACTAATATACTGTAAAGTTCGTAGGTTTTGATTAATTTCTAAAACAAATCATATTTTCTACAAATAATCTAAAAGAACAAATTTTATTAGTAAAAGAAATAATCGATATACTTTTTCGTCTTCTAAACTACAAAAAGGCGTAAAAATTATATAGTCCCAAAATCCTGAAATTTAGAAGAATATGAATTAAAATTCTAAATTATATCCATTTTATTGGTTTAAAACATCATAAATTGTATATAAATCACATTCGTGGAATCTATTAGAGCAGAGTTAAAATCTGCACCTGCAGATAGAGAAACTTTGACTAAAACCCATCTTATTTTAGTATAAGATTTGAATTTTATCTATATTCTATATCTTTTTCTAAATAAAAGATTATTATATAATAAATTGTAGGGAATAAACTGAACAGTCTATTCATATATTATTTATCAATTTGGTTCGGTGTTTTTTACCATTTGTTTATTGAAAAAAAAAAATAAAGAAATTTTAAAATTGTACAACTTATAACCCCAAAACCACACTCATTTATGGAATTTGTTGAAGAATGAAAAGAAATAATAATATTTTTTCTAAATAATAAATAAAAATGGGTGAAAAAAATAACAAATTAAATACCATTCCAAATTCGTAATCTTGCCAGAGTTTTTTACCTTTAGTTTATTTGCTAGTTTTGCGTTATAAAAAGGCGTTATCCAAGCGAAATAAAGAAAAAAAATCATCGGAAGTCTCATGACATATAAATCTAGGTTTTCCGACATCTAAGATTAATTTGATGTTGCAAAAACACATTTTCCGGTGTAATAATTTTTGTTATTTTTGATATTTTGTGTTATAGGGACGGTCCGATGGAGAAGAAGAAGGCTGTGATCGCGTGTGCGAAGATAGAACTCCGTCGAAATTCTAAATCTTCTGGTCAGTTGTTCGATGGCGATACCAAGGATGCCGAGAATTATAAACAGATCATCATCCCGCTTCGAAGGCGATCGAAGAAAGATGTTTTGCCGCCGTCTACTAGCAAAGACGCCGACGATTTCGATGAAGACGAGGCATCTGATTATACTGAGACTGACGAGGCGGAGACTCCGACCAAAAGAGAGAGTTCGGAATCAAAATCTAAAAGGTGGATAGATTTATTTCCATACCAATTACATTTTATATATAGATCTATATTTACTTCCTGATCATCCCGTGAGAGTTCCCACACACACGGCTTTACGCAAAATAAAGGAATAGTTAATATTAGTCAGAACCCTCGTAAACTAACAGTCAATATACAGATTACTAGAAAAGAATACAATCAATATACCGCCAAAATAACTATATTTTCCTGAAAAGAACAGCTATTACTAGTCAGAATCCTTGGACTAACAATAAGCACAAGATTTATATATATATATATATATATATATGATTTCAACATTTGTAATTGTATTTTGGTCAGATCTCGCCAAAGGAAAAAGTGTTCTCTAAGAACCAAACATCAAGGACCAGTCTTATTGAGCATGATGAAACAGACCGTGGAATCACTCGAGGTGGGGGCATGGAATTCGTACTAGCTCGTGTTCAATATTTGTACATATTTTTTCTTTTTCTTTTTTGCGTGAAATAATCTACATTCAAATCTTCAAATTTATTTTAATAAAATTTCCACGTATTTATTTTTTTTTAAAAATAATAATAATTCAAGGCGAGAGTATCATCTCTGGTGAAGCGAGTGGATGAATGCGACAGAGAGTGGCAGTTGGTGAAAGAAGAGAGCAAGACGGCCAAGGCGTTCGTGGAGGCTACCCAGACACTTCACGACAAGAAACATGGTAATATTTTGTGTCATTAAATAACGCAATCTAATAATACATTTAATTAGAAGCCCCTCGTATCGTATGTTTGTGAAAACGACTGACAAAAGTGAGTTATGACTTCCAAGACAATGGGAAGCATAATAAATCATGTGACTGATGATTGAAGTGTGTGTGTTCTTGTTTTCTGTGTACAGCTGAGCTCCAACGTGTGTTGAAGGAACAGGAACGCTTGTCGGATTTGTTTCTTGAAAAATTGAAGCTATAAACAGAAAACATCCAAGGAGAGAGAAGAGAGAGAGAGAGAGAGTAAGTTCTATATCTTTATATCTATCTATTATCCAGCAAAAAATAAAAAAACATGTTTGTGTTTCATTTTGCATAAAATATAAGACTTGCTGTCTCTGTCATAAACCAACGAGATTTATGTAATAAAATGCCTAAGACTTCAAATCTTGTCTATTGATATCTGTTATACTTAATAGAGAGTTCTCTTGATTATTTTTTTTGATAATCTGGAAGTTTACCGGACCCCTTAGCCCAACTAGATCTTTTAAGATCCGAAAATTTCAGGTGAATGTCCCTCTCCACGTTTGGATTTGAGCACAAATAAGAGCATCTCCCAAAGAGTTCTTTTGATTGTTTAAATGTGATATTGTCGGCTCTTACATGTTATTTGCTCTCTCGGGGATCATTGTTGGGTTGCGATTCGAGCAAATCATTGGAATCTTTCTCGCTGATGAACGAATCTTTTAGAGGGTTAATTTAAAAACATGGTGTGAATTCCTTCAAAGCATGTTTTTTTTTTCTACGTCTAGTGTCTTGTAGCTGATTAACCATCCATCTAGGTTAGGGTACGGGTCCGATAGCTGGGGTTTTGGAGGTATCTGACCTCGAATCCAAGTTTTTCGGGTTTTGTGATTCGGAATCTATCGTTAGGCATGTGTAGTTCAGACACGCGAGTTTTGGGTATCCACTAGGTATCCAAAATTTTCGGATGCTTGTGCGGTACCCGGCCTGCAAGGGTGAGTGGTCGAGCCGCCAAAGGCGAGGGAGAGAACGAGGTCGATCTCGAGGAATGTGAGGCAAATCGAGCAGTGAAGGGTGTGGAGAGAGAGGTGGGAGGCAGAGGATGACGAGGCGAGCGGAGAGAGGCAATGAACGAATAGATCTGGTCGGGTACCCGATTTTCGGTTTTATCTGCCACACCTACACCCCCATTCGGCTCCGCTGCCATTCGTTGATGCATGGCTAATTAGTATTTCGATTACTAGTGAATGGCTCATTTCAATGGGACATCCTCGTTCGATATAAAAAGCTGCGACGAATGGTCGGCTACTTCTTGTTTGGTACTCAGAATCAGACAAGAACTCAGAATCATAAGTGAACTGTGAACTGAACGATCAAAGTAACTGTAAAATTGTCGAGGCAGAGACAAAAAGGAGATCTAAGATTTGGCTGAGACCAACTTCAAAATGTTATTTAAAAAAATCCAATCCATTACAATGACTTAACTAAAGGAGGGGCAAACCCATTGATGGTGTTCATGTGTGTAACTGAAATCAGACCGGACATCGGTATCCATTCAACGGTACTGCAAAATGGTCGGAACAAAAACAAAAAAAAGAAAACCTATAAACAATCCTTCAACGACATGAAAAACACAGCCTAGAAGGACATCGATTGAGAAAGGAATTACCTTGATGAATCCGATTTCCTTGGCATTGCTGCGGAAGCATTGCCTGCAGCAGTTCAGACCATACTTCCTGATCATCCCGTGAGAGTTCCCACACACACGGCTTTACGCAAAATAAAGGAATAGTTAATATTAGTCAGAACCCTCGTAAACTAACAGTCAATATACAGATTACTAGAAAAGAATACAATCAATATACCGCCAAAATAACTATATTTTCCTGAAAAGAACAGCTATTACTAGTCAGAATCCTTGGACTAACAATAAGCACAAGATTCTGGAACATAGTTCTGTTCTGTTTTCCTCGAAACTCATACATTACACCATGATCTTGATCAACAAATCAACCAAAGCCCCACCCGACTAACAAAACATTATCTGTCTGAAAGGATCGAACGAGATCCATATAGATTTACGAGAAAAACCTGTACAAGTCTACGCCTTAACATAAACTCTGGAACTTAATACATCAAAGTTTCACCAAAAAAACCACAAGATACAGAAACATCAACACATTCACCACTGGTTCAAGTTTTTATCCGATTCGTTCCTCCATATCAACAAGTAATACGATGAATGGGCGATTAATTAATCAGCAGAACAAAAACTAAACAACTTGAGAAGATTACCATCCCAAAGTTAACACAGAAACCGTAAGGTGAGAAAATCATAAAGCACGGCCATAAAGTGTTCCACAACTCGCTTCCTTTTACTCCGATATAAACAAAGCAACTTGTGTGTATGTGAGAGAGATAGAGATAGGGAGGGAGCGAGAGAGAGAGAGAGTACCAGAGGCGAGATCCAGGACCGTACTTCTTCGGGTGAGAATTCCAGACATTGGCGTGACCCATGGTCGTAAGGTGCTTGAACAGGGAAAGCTAACTGACGAAGACGAGCGGCGAAGAACCCCTGAAAACCCTAGATTTCGGTGGGAGAAGGAGATTTAAAATACCCTACTTTTACCTATGGGCCGGATCCAGCAGGCCTAATTATAACCCAAAATATAACCTATGAATTTGTTTTTTGTTACAAACCAGTTTGTTTTTATATATATATATATATATATATATATATATCCTAAAAAAACGTGTTATTTCTGCTGTCATGTTCTTTATTTCAGGAACATTTTTGCATTCCTCATATATTAATCGGTATTTGAGTTATATAAAAGAAGTAGAAAGAAAAAAAAAGTCCCTAAAAACGTTTGAAAAACAAGGGGCAGTTCCGGAATAGAAAAAGAAAAAAGAAAAAGACATTCCATTTCTCTAACGTGTGCACCAAGATACAGATACCCTAACTTGTGCATCAAGACACAGATACCCTCCTCGTCAAGTTTCTTGAAGGCGTGGACTTGGCTTCTTCAGGGTTCATCGCTACAGAGCCGAGGCTCTCAGAAGAATCCGACCCCCCTCCTCCTCCTCCTCCTCCTCCTCCGCTGTTTCTCTCTCCTCTACTCTCCAAAACCGATTTCTTCCCGAAAATCTTCTTCGACTTTATCAAGCTCTTCACTCTGTTTATCACCTGTGACGCCGCTCTATCTATGCTTCTCCTTCCCTCGCTAATGTTTCCCTGCAGTTTCAGCGCGGCTATCTCGCTTTTCAGCGCCCGTAATTCCTCAGCCGAGGCAATACCATCCCATTCGTCCTCCATTATCGTCGGTACGGACCTCGAGCTTCCGTACACCGTGCAATTCCGCAGTTCTTTCACGCCCTTTGGTATGACATCTGGTGTGCTACTCCCCGACGATGCAGCAGCTCTTACTTGCTCGAAGAAGAGTACCTGCACGACTACCCGCAACGGGAGCCTCTCGTTTTGTACAGCGTGCATACACGCTTCCACTGATAGTTTCCGGCAGTCCATCAATTTGCATACCCTCTTCTTCTCTCCCTTTGTGATTCCCGGGTGCTCCTGCATTCGGAAATAACGTTACCGAGCGGAAAAAAAATGGAATTTCTACATGAAGAATATAATTCTCGTCGAGAAAATAGCATATACAGAAGGGTGTATCGTGATATCGTCTTTCTCGTTACCTTTAGATACATGTCAATGGCTCGGTAGAGCGCATCATGAGCAGGTCTAGAGACAGTGGAAACCATCTCGGCGAGATCGGTGAATTTAGAAGCTGGAAGATTAGGATCCTTTGCGATTTCTGCAAGGTACCCATCTACCAGTTTCGCAACCATTAGCTTCGAAGCTTCGGATAGAATCCCAGGTTTCGTCATCTCCTGAACTTCTTCAAATCCATCCTGAGTCTCGATTTCGCTGTTCTGGTCTCTTGTCATGAACTCTCGAACTATCTTCTGCACTATTTCGACATCGTACAATGTTTCTCCTCCCTCTTCGTGCGACTTTATCAGAAGATCGGTTACGGAAGCTTCTTCCAGTTGCTGCCCGATTCTTTTCACGAGCTGTTCTTTCGCCATCTCTCCCGAGTTTACGGCAATGATTGCTTTTAACAACTTGAGCAAGAAACTGCAAGATACACTGTCTTTCTCAGAAGGTAATAACCAGACAAGAGTCTCTACTATTGTCTTATACTTGACCTGATCTCCATTCTCCATTACACCTTTGCTAAAACCCGACAACCTCGAGTAAGCATAAGCTTTCAAGGCTTCTCCAATCACTTCACCCGGAACTATCCCTTTGCTCTTGATGTTCATTATGATCCGTTTGTAAAAACCGATATCTAGTTCACACAAATCCTCGACCCACCAGTCTTGAGGAACTTCTCGAGCTCTTATACCATTGTAGCTTGGATTTGGATCACACTTATTCCTGTTTTCTTCCGGAAGCTTCTTCCGGTTATAGGTATACGACCACTCGACTCGGGAAACGTCGGTGCAGGCCTTGGCGGCTATGGCATCAATGCAGAGGCTGACCAGTTTCAGATCCTCGGAGAGCGGTAAGAAAGGTTTTGTGGTCTGAAGAACAATGATGGAATCCTTCCAGCTTCTGAAGATGCTGGAGTTTTGGAAGATTTCGATCTTGTAAATGAGATTCCCTTTCTCAACCGTCTCTTGCATTCCAAGATACTCGGCTGCGCATCTCGTGGCCACGACGTTGTAAGCACTGAGGGTGACTGTCATGCCATAACAAAATTTTGCACATGTCTCGAAGGCAGTGGGGCCGCCCGGAATATCAGACAGATCTACCTCGTCGGTGCTGTTCTTGTCCGCGCTCGACACCAGCTTTTGAAGCCACCCGCACTTGGATAGCAGCGGAAACTGTCAAGGAATATAACTCGGTACATTTATCAGTGAGAAATATCGATACAAACAGCAAGAGAAACCATCAAAGCACATAGATTCAAGAACCGGGATCAGATCATACTGAAAAAATGCAAAAAATTTCAGATGTGTCTGGATCATCAAAGGCTATACTTTTTCGGGTTTTTGATGATTGATCAATTACGCGGACAAAGAGGTTCCTATATCGGACACAAGATTTTCAGACATACCTTATGAAGATAAAACTTTGACCCGTCGACGTTGATAATGATGTCAGCTGCCAGTTCGTTTTCTACATACCTGCGTGAGATACATCGGTTTCTTGAGTGAGAGACCGTTGATGTAACAATCTGTTTAGATATGAAAGAATCAAGAATCCCTCTTTTACATTTTCTTTTCTCCTAAATAGAAACCGGGTCTAAATTCGAGCGAGACAAATCAAGAATATGCTCTAAAACGTTTCAGTTGCAGAAACATTTCTGCGGCTGCCAAGCGCAGAAACCAGAAACACCATTCAAGAACAAGTAACATTTTTCTGCAGATTCCGATCCCCAAGTGCCACAAGATCGATAATCTTTTGAACTTCTTCAACCGCAGAACCGTAGGATGCACAACATGTGCAAGAACACAGAAAACTATTTTAACTTCTCGTTTCAAGAAAAAAAAACTTTCAACCAACAGATCACAGTCCTATGGCATGGGGGTCCAGTTTCACAGAGCAAGGAAAAAACGACAACAAAATTTACTTGTTCATAACCGATGACAAAGGAGACGAAAAACTAATAAAGGCAACAAATTTCGAAAGATCGTAACAGTAGATGCAGGTAAGATCGAAACAAGATATGTGTGTGTGTGTATATATATCACCTGACGTTGTTCCCATCCGTTTTAAACGAATCTGGCTTGGACCCGATTTTCATGAACTTCATCTTCGCCCAGAAATCTCTCGAAGAAGCTAAAAGATCACTGGAAAAGAAAGCAAGAAGCGGCCTCAAGAATCACAGTCTTCTCCACATCCTTCATATGAGTTTGACCATCGCCGAAACCGAAGAAGATCTTGGAAATTTCCCGTTAATGGAAAGGATGCGTTCCAAGACTGAGGGTGGGGACCAAATTTGTCCTAAAGGCAACTAACTTAACGTCCTCGGAAGATCTCAAAACACAGAGGAAGAAAGAAGCAAAAAACAAAAGAGAAATGGAAAGTGAGACCCAAATCTCAAATGCAGATAATCGGCAATATGATGCAAGATTTAGCAGTTTTTTAAATTAATTATAATATAATTATAAGAAAAGGTTCTCTCTTCAATGGAAAGCCAACCAAAGAAGCAGAATGCTTCCTCGGAAACCAGCAAGAGCCCGCAGAGAGCGGGGAGACACAGCCATTACAGGGGACAGTACAGTAACAATGTCAAGAGCTGCTTTAATTGAGATTTTCCACAAAGCATATCGAAGAACAAATCTGAATCAAGCTCTCTCTCCTCTGATTTCTTCTCTTTTTTAATCATTTTTTTTTTCTGAACAAGATCATTTCAGCAACAAAAACAAAAGGGGTGTGTACCTGTTGAGTTGTGATTCTTCAAGTCTTCAAGTTCCAACTCCGAACCACATGTTTCCGCTATTAGTTTATTCAATCAACCGTTGGAAATCTCGGAATCTGCAAAACAAAAAAAGGGGAGAAAAAAAAACAGCATCTCGGTATCAGAAGAAGAAAACCACCAAAACGGTAGACAAGCATCTTTTTTTCCCTTTTGTGTTTTTTTATTATTATTTTCATGGCAATGGAATAGTGAGAGTCATGGGGAAGATCGTGACGGCAAACTGCAGGCGATATTCGCAAATTCAACACACCCAACAACTATATCTGTAGAATCTACAAGAAAAATCCATCACAGGAACCAAAGTTGGGATTTTTATTTTGGGGTGGTTTGGGAACGCCAAAACCCTAATTAGCAAAAGAAATGCTCAAATGCGATGGGGAACAACTTGGGGAATAGCGAAGGCAAAACCCAGAGAAACCCATTTGTCAAAGACTCGAAAATCATCAAATTTCCCAAGAAAAATCAAACCTTTAGGGATTTCGAAGAAACCCAATACTTGGCCCAGAAATCAGAACATCGAATTTCAAATATCATCAAGTCTGTTCTCTGTTTTTTGAAAACTTTGTTAAAAAAGTAAACAAAAAATGGCAAACACAACCTTGAAGACTCCTGTTTACGTGAACCAGCTCCTAAATGTTCCGTCTTCTGATTAGAATTACCAATTTCCTCGGATATTTTCTCAAAGAAAAAGTTCATCTTTATTAAAATCGGTGAAGAAAGCGAGGGTTTTTTTTTTTGGGGGCGACCATTAAAACAAACAGCAATTATCACCTCCTCGCCTTTGCTCAGCTATGCACGCCACAACTGACACACGAGCTCACTCTGTTTTTTTTTTTCCATGAATGCAATAAACCCTTTACGTGTTCTCCAATTAACCCGTCACCGTCATTTCTGATTCTCCCTCTCGATCAATCGCCTTCGCCCTCGTTAACATTTTAACAAATAATACAGTAAAAAAAGAAAAAAAAAAGTTTTTTCGGTATTGCCTTTGTATAAATGATTGCTAAACAGCCAAAATATACGTTATCTCGTACAAATTCACCCATTTTTTTTTTTGTATATGTTTTATCAGAGATAATTAGGCAACGGACCAAAAACCCTTTTGGCCGTGTGTGTATGAACACGTTCATATGAATTGAATACCTCTAACAAAAAATAAACTTTGAAACCATATATTATAAGGTTCCATCCAAATGAAGAAGCTGATTTATGGATCGAGGAGAAATTAAGATATATTGGATTAAAAAAAATAGAGAAACTGTGTTTTTTATTAAGAATAAAAAAAAAGGAGACAGAACTCAAAACAACAGATGACTTGATTGTGTTACACATCAGTGCACATGGCCCACTGGTCACAAAAGCATTAGCATCAAAAACGAATCTCTTTCAAGATCACGAACCGCAGCGCATCATTTGGTCAAGATCGATTAGTTTATTGTTTAATTAAAATTAATATGCATATATATGAGTCGTTTGATTTCTGATTTTTTTTTATATGTTCAAGGTTTGAAATATTGTTTTTATACTAAACTTAAATGATAAACAAAATCTTTTTATATTGATCTTGGCAATTTATGTTGCAAAGTGGATATATACATGGTATGAAGTTTTAAATATTTTAGTATGATCATAAAAATGTGAATTATTATCAATTTTTCATTTGTACTATGAATTTTCTGCTTATGACAAAGTACTAAGTACTACTCATGACAACCATTAAGGTCCATACGGTCCAACGTCTCACGTGAAGCCATGAATTATTATCAATTTGCATGTGACTTTAGTTTGAGCAGCTTAATTCAGTACCCCCACTTGATTTTATTTTTTATCTTATTTATTGTACTTTTACATTATATAATTTTAAAATTATGCTAAATTGGTATTCATAATATTGGCCCCCTTTTTTGGAGCTTGGCCCCATATTCTATTTGCTGATATATATATATATATATATATATATATATATATATGTATGTGTATATGTGTGTGTGTGTACTCCATTGACAAAAAAACGAATGATTCCTTATTCTTAAAAATCATTTTTTTCTTGGATGAAAATTAGTTTCCTATCTTATCAAATGAGTTTTTCAAAGACTTTATAACCTAGAAAAAACACAATAACCCTTTTTTAAAGTATTTTTGTCTTTTTACATAAAAATTTATTAATTTAATTTGTTTGTACTAAATTATTTTTAAGAAGTTATTTTTTTTTTACTATTCTCACCAACTTCTCCCACATTTATTTACAACAATAATGTATGTTAATTTGGATTTCTCTGTTAGTTAAATCTTTAGGTTGATTTATATAATAGTAGATGTAAAAAGATTTAAGCGTCGTCAAAGTTACCACGAAAATTTTCAAGATATATTAAATAAACAACTGGTGTGTGTGTGTACATACGTTTCTTCATGCAAAGAAGATGTATTTAACCTTTTCAAATGAAAAATATTTATAAAATTGTAAAATAATGTAATATGCAATTAATGCTAATGACGTGGATGTACGGTAATTTGATGGTTGTTCAACAGATTTTTTTTTTTTTTAATTTGGAAAATAGGAGTTGACCTTCTCAATCTCAGATTGGAGTTCAAACGGCTAGGTCAGCGAATTGGTCTGGATTCTTCTGTTAATTTGCAATCCTATAGTACAATCTTAAAATTGTAAATTTGTTTTACTGGCAGTTCAAATTATATAGATATTTCCAGTTTTGGTTTGGATTAAATTCAATTTTATAAATTTATATTCATTTAATTCATATATTAAATTTTAATTCATTTTTTACTGATAAATTTTATATTGTTTTATTTGATTTTATTTATTTATTTTCATATTTGATTCGAATTTCACTTGAAATTCTAGTTTTTAGTTTTTATATTGAATTTCCTTCGATACTTTTAGTTAATGGAACTGAAGCTATAATTCTCTCTTGAGTGCAAACTTTATCCAATGAAAAAGGGATTGTGATACAATAGTTTTAAATTTAGGAATAAAGAGACTTGGATTTGATGGGTTTAAATAATTTTCAATATCCAAAAATAAAAAATTCTCATCACAGAAATTGTGTTGAAGGCATAGAATTAATTTTTTTACAAAAAATATTTTCAGTATTTTAGTAATCAAAATATAAAAAACTAAAATTCTGGAATTATAATACAAATTAGGAAACAAGTGAAAAACTATTTAGCTAAATTTCAAGGGCTCACAGCTTGTGGACCGTAATGGGCCTAAATGAATAAAGGCCCATTTGATCCCAAGGGATTAAATAAGGAAAAATTTCGAGATGATGGAAAAAACAGAGAAAATAAATAAAATAATAATAAATAATAACGGATCTCTGAATTGCGAACAAGGTCGTGGAAAGGGATCGATTAAAGCTCAATTTCTCCACAAATCAGATCTCTTCTCCTCCTTCTTCTACTTCGTCTTCTTCGTCGTCTTCGTTCCTTATTTCGATCACAATCCGAACGAATGCGATTTCCTCGGACGCGCTGAATTCAAAACTCTTCAGTGATCCATCCTGACGTTGTCGCGCGCCTCTCTGTGCAATGGTGGTCTGTAAATGCAGAAAGGTATGTGTCTGTGTATACGTACGTGTGTATATATTTATCTCCTGATATTGTCTATTCTGATGGAATGATATCGTTCGTCGATCAATGGGAGGTGATCGTTTTCGTCGCCGTCGAATGTAATTGCCGATTTTCGAGCTAAAGTTTGAAAACGGCATTGGATTGTTCGTGATTTTGTATGTGTTTTGCTTGCGATTCTTTCCCTTATTTGAACATGGGCAAGCTGGTGGCTGACCGTAATTTGCCTTATTTTGCTCTCGAATTGTTGATTTTGGGTTCTTAATTCCATTTCTCTAGTATTATATGGGAATCATGAGCTTATCTAGTTGTTCTGAAGGATTTTCTTATTGGCCACTGTCATTGAGCTTATGAAGTGAATTCTAATGTTTTCGCTTCCTTTGGCTTTTGCAGGCTACCAAGTTGTATTGCTTTGTTCACAAGGTCCCTGTTTGCGGGGAATGCATCTGCTTCCCAGAGCACCAACTTTGTGTGGTAAGTTAATCAATTCATGCTCTTTATCCCTGAAAATTGATAGTTTACAAGGAACTTAGGCCCTGTTGTTTGAATGTGGTGTCACTGTAGAAATGACCAATAGGTAAGAACTTTAACTGCCAAACCGATAGTCTTTTCTGGGAACACCAACATTTTATGTTAGGAACCTCCCTGAATTTGGTAATTCTGGAATTGTACGGATAAGTTTTAAATCGATATGTAGAAATGCTTGTGTGGTAATGTACATGTTATATTAAAGGGGGGGGGGGGGAGGGGG